GACAGAGCAAGCAAGACAGAGCAAGCAAGACAGAGCAAGCAAGACAAAGCAAGCAAGACAGAGCAAGCGAGAGAGAGAAAGAGAGACACGCGTACCCGCCGCAGGAGCCCGGTATTGCAAATGACAATCATGCCATACCGCGCACGCGTGATGGCCACATTCAGCCGGCGCAGGTCCGTCAGAAAGCCCACGGTCTGCGTGCGCACGGTCGACAGGATGATGTAGTCCCGCTCGGACCCCTGGAAGGAGTCCACACTGGCCACATCCACCCGGGCATAGACATCCCTCGGCAGGGTGGTCTGCCTTTCCAGCAGCCGGCGGATGTGCTGGCACTGGCCGTCGTAGGGCGAAATGACGCCGATCTCCTCCGGCCGGACGCCCTGGCCCAGCAGCCGGTTCAGCACCTCGAGCACCTTCTGCGCCTCGGAGTAATTCAAGAAGGAGGTCCGAGAGGCGGAGGACTTTTCCACCCCGGCATCCGAGTAGACCATCATCGGCGAGTCCGGGTCCGGCCAGGGGAAGTCCACCGCCGGCCGGCGCCGCTGGTCTGCCCGAACCCCATCCGCCAGGGTCCCCTCGTAGAAGGCCTCCGACGGGAAGGCCGACAGGCAGGGGTGCATGCGGTATTGGACATCCAAGCGCAGGGGCTGGCTCCCCAGCAGGATCAGCCGCTCGAAGAGTGACCGGCTCAGCCCGGCCGCCACGGCCTCCGGGTTCATGACCACCGGGCCCAGCTGCATGTGGTCGCCCACCAGGATGACCATCGACGGCCCGTGCATCAGGGCCACCAGCACCTCCGGGTCCGTGCACTGGGTGGCCTCGTCGACGATCAGCACGTCGAACCGCCGCTCGAAGGCGGCCGACGAGGAGAGGGTGGCTGCCACGATTCTGGCACGCTGTGTGTGCGGGGGGGGGGGGGGGCAGGGGGTGGGACAGGGGGTGAAACAGCGCGCGGCAGGGGGTGGATAGGATGCAAGCGCGCGGGAAGGAACACGTCAACACCAAAGCCCGGATGGAGGGCAGGGAGAAAGAGGGGACAGAAGGGCATCTCGTGGGAAACGCACCCGAAGATAGGTATCCCGCAGGTCCCGCAGGTACTGGGCATCGTCGCGGCCCTGGGCGCCCTTCGGGTTGTAGTGGCCTCGACGCCGTCCGTCGATGATGCTCCGGGCACGGGGGTCGTCTTTCTTGAGCTGACCACGGCGGTGCGAGGCCGGCACACGCAGCCACAGGCAGGTGAAAGGTGAGCGCCCCTTCGTCGCCATGGTGCATACACGCGACACGGACACCCGCCCGCCCGGTCCCCCCCCCCCTGCCCCCCCCCCGGCGCGCGCGGGAAAGCAGGGACCCGGACGCCTCCCGGCCGCCCGGACGTACCCTCTCCAGAAGTGTGAGATGCTTGTGCGGCGAAACCATGAACTCCCGCGCGTCGCTCTCCATCCACAGGACATCCAGCCCCGAGGCGTGGACACGGCCACACATGTTGGACACGGCCACATTCGACGGGGCGCACAGGAGAATGCTCCGGCCCTGCAGCCACAGGAAGTGCACCAGATTGGCGATGGTCGCCGTCTTGCCGGTCCCCGGCGGGCCCTGGATCAGGCTGAACGCCTGCGACACGACCTTCTGCATCACCCGCAGCTGCGACTCATTGGGCGGGCTGACGCCCGGGGCCTGGAAGTCATCGGCCATGTGCAGCGGCCGGAAGCCGGCCGGCATCTGACGGCCCATGCATTGGCCCAAGACATGGCCCTGGATGACCGGGTCGACGAGGGTCCTGTTGGAAAAGCCCTCCAGCGCCCCGAGCACCCGCATGAAGTGGACCGGGTTCTCGCTGAGCTTGACCGAGAGACCGGACTCCCTCAACAGCAGGGGCTCATGCTCGGCGGTGACAAACCGCAGCAGGAGATCCAGCTCCTTGACCGCGCCTTGGCCCCCGGACCACCGGCCCCACGGGGACACGGGCGTCGGCACCGGCGGCCGACGGAAGAGGAGGACGAGGATGAGTATGAGGCCCAACGGCCAGCAAGAGCCCGAGCACCAGCGGCAGCGGCAGGGGCGAAAGAAGCAGCAAGCGAAACGGCGGCGAGGAAGCCCCCCCCCCCCCCCCCACCAGAAGTGTCGCCATTCGCCGGGGCCGTACCATGGGTAATACGGGTCACACAGGCGAAAAGCTCCACCCCTTGAAGGTCCGGATGCGAGATGCACAGGAAGCAGCCGTCCGACAGACGCAAGGCTGCGCCATGACCCGCGCCCCGCCCGACGAACAGCCAGTCAGACACACGGTCCACCAAGGGACACCCCCCGACCGACAGGAACCAACAGCCAAGCCGGCCACACGCAGCACGCACAACTGTCCAGCGGAATGTGCAGGAAGCTCCGCCCGTACGGATCCAGCCAACCCTTGGCGTCGTACTCGATGACGGAGTTGGCCATCTCAAGGGCATAGTCGCGCTCCAGCTTGACAAGCGGCTCGAAGACCCGCCGATAGTGGATCGCCGATGTGAAACTTCGCCCGCCATCCATCGTCAGCATGGCCGGCATGGCACACCGCCCGGCATCGGCGCCCTCCACTCCTGCCCTCCACCCGAAGCAAGTGGCACACGCACACATCCGGGACCCTGGTGTCCGATGGATCCCTCGGCGCCGGGCCCCGAGCGCCATATTCCTGATCGACAGCGGGAAAGGCCCCGATCTCCGGCACCTCTGCCAGGCTGGGCGAGCTCGGTCGGTAAGGTGTGCTCGGCGGGTAAGGTGTGCTCGGCGGGCTGGGCGAGCTCGGTCGGTAAGGGGTGCTCGGCGGGCTGGGCGAGCTCGGTTGCGGACGATTCGCGCCTCGCTGGTGAGAGAGGGAAGTCCGTCAGCGGCAGCCGCGCACCGGTCGCAGGGCGGGGTGTGTGCGTGTGTGTGCGCGCGGGGCACGCATGAAAGGGCACGCGCGAAAGGGCGCATGCACTCGCCGGCGCCCATGCCGGCGGGGGTGTGCACATGCATATGCACGCACCTGCGGCAGGGACCAGGACACCACCAGCTTCGAGAGGACCGGGCCATCGACCAGCCGCTCCCAGCCAGTGAAAAGCGTAAAACCACACGCCCGGTACAGACACAGTTCGTTGCAGTAGATCCCGTCGCGAGACCAATCGTCGAAGCGATAAATCCGCAGAAGGAAGGGGTTCGACTCGTTGCAGGCGCGGCATCGGACGGCCAGGCCGCCGAGGAGGCTCTCCGGGTGCAGACCGATGGCGTCGTGCTGGTTGCCAGCGGGGGGGGGGCCACCGAGGGGAGGAGACACCGACGCCAGCCCGGGCGTGGGTCAGTTCCAGGCGCACATGGCGGAGGGGGGTCATGGGGTGGGGGGCGGGGCGCGCGCGCGCGCGCGTGCCCAGTGGCCTCCCTCCCCCCGCCCCGGCTCCTGGGCCCCCGCCGATGGGGCGCCCCAACAAAGGAGGGGGGGGGGGGGGGGGGTGCAAAACGGCGCCCGGACGCACCTGCGAGTCCAGCAAGTGCCGAATGAGATGGCTCGGCTGGCCGGCCGACAGGCGGATGTTGCAAAACCACCGCGAACACCTCTCGCACCTGGCCAAGCAGGCGGGCTGGTCATTCGGGCAAAGGGAGCACACCGGAGGGCGCCCACCGGAGCCGAGGCGCAGGTTGTCAAAGAAGCTGACCAGCTCCTCGAACCAGGTGTCCTCCGCCGGCCAGTCGGGCACCCGGATCCAGGAGTCATCGTGCATGGGTCGGCCCTCGGGCCTTCGGCCGGGCTGGCCCGACGAGGAGCCGTCCGAGGTGCCGATCACGACGTCGGTGGCGAACCAACCCGAAGGGTAGGCATGCGGATTCCGGGACATACGATGGCTCCGGCTTCAAACGGCGGGGCGTCGAGAGGCGGGTCCTGCGGGGCACAGGGAAGCGAGAGCAAGGGCGGCAGGGGCAGGAGCGAGGGCAGAAAAGGCGCTTGCCGTCTCCGAGCACCGGAGGCCGCCCGGGGGCACAAAAGCCCACGAAGATGGCGGCGCCAGGAAGGATGGCCGTGCCCGGCGTGCGGTGGACAAACGCAAAAAAAAAGAAGCCCTGTGGGACCGCCGGCCCGAGGGCGCCATCGCCTGCGGGCGGCGCACCGCCCCGCCGGGAAGAACGCCACGCCGCCTCGGCCCGGCAGCCCGGCGCGCTGATCCGGGGCCAGGGGGGGGAGCCCGGCGAAGGATCGCCGATCCCCGCCAGCCGGGGGGGTCCGTTGGGACACCCGAGCGCACCAGTTGCCATCGGCCCTCCTCGCAAAAGGATGCCCACGTTCATACGCCGGCGGAAAATGTCCCACCAGCATGGTGGGCCACAAATCCCAATTTATTTATTCCCCCCAATATGACTGCCCCCCCCCCCCGCCCCGAGGACCATGCAGCCAACCGCCCCGGCCACGGCGGCCTGGCTGCGCTCCGTGATGGGCCCGAGTGCCCCTTCATTGGCCCGGGCAGCCCCTCTCCTCGATCGGCGGCCCCCCCCCCCCCCCCCCGGGGAGGCTGGTGCACGCCCGCCACCGCCCCGTCTCCCGAGGTGCGCCGGGCGCCTTTCCCTGCCTGCCCGCGGCACCGCCGGGCCTTGCCCAGCTGCTCGCCGGCCGCCCGGCCCCGAGGTGGCGGCCCTCGCCTTGCGCCGCGCCCCCGCCCAAATGGGCGCACTGCCGGGGGCGGCGGCCGGCGAGCTCACGGCCCTCGGTGTCCCCCCCGGCCTGTGCGGCAGGCCACGCGAAGGGTGCCCCGGCCGGGGCTAGCCTGTCCTGAGCCTCGCGCCCTTGCCCGGGGGGGGCGGGGTGCGACCCCCGGCGCCTCCCGGAGCATCGGCCACAGCCCGCCTCCATGGCAGGGGGGGGGGGGGGGGCGACACATCGCTTCGAGTGTTGGTGGCCCTGTGGTGTTGGCGCAACCACCGTCCCCCCGCCCCTCCCCAGCCCGGGCACCCGTCGGCTGCGCACGATGCACATCCCGGCCGGTGGCCTGCTCGCCCTGGTGCGGTGGCCTGGCGTGCGTGCCGGCGGGCCGCGGGGCATCGGCCCGCAGTGGCGACGCCCGCGCGCCCGCCGGCTCGTCATCCCTGGTGCACGCCTTGCACGCTGGGATGCAGCCCGCCCGAGGCGAGTCCCAGGGGGGGGGGGGGGCTGCCCCGGTGGCCGTGGCCGCCGGAGCATCGGCCGAAAAAGACCACCCCGCCTAGACCGGGCTCCCGGCCGCCGGCGGCACACCCGCACACCTGCCCCATGCGGCGGTCATCGCGGCCAGTGCTTTGCCGAGTCCGCCCAGGGCAGTCGACCCCGGCATCGAATGCTGCTCACCTCTCTGGGCGCATGGGGCGTTTCGAAGGCCCACGCGCAGTCGGGTCCTGCTTGTGGCGGACCTGGCCCGGCGGG